CCCCCCCACCTACCTTCCCCTAAAGTTTGGCACGTTACTTCTGGGACACCCTGTATATATTGTACTTTTGCTACTAATTTTTTTCCGCTTTTTAGGTTCTTTTCGCGAAACCATATTAATTTAATCTCTTACATATTCAATTATTCATAATTCAATTTTATAGCCATCTGATTCAAAACCTAGTTATTTGGCTTGCTTCATTCATTAAAATTTGCACATCCGTTTGTGGTTTTGTCACTTGATTTGAATTTTGAGCTAATTATTTAATGACGCAAATGTTTAAAAATGTCTAGAACAAACTGACGAAGCTAGGTCAAATCTTGAATACATTTTCAAACTGTGGCGTTATACTATACATACTTTTCAAACCGGGTACATGCCAATTGGTCGAAGCTATGAACTTCGCAAAAGCTCTTATTTTCAAGTCTTATACTTAGTCACATTTGTATGTATGATTGCAAGGCCTTAACCGAATTGTTTGTCAAGCGTGCGTAATATTATTCCACTTATTTTATTATTCTTCTTTATTACTTACTGTACAACGAAACGGAAGAAATTAAAAAAAAAAATTTGAAATGTTATTCAGAGTATTCAAAATTACCCTCTATTGTCGGCATTTTACTAAAATAATATTTTAAACAAATTAAATTTTTTATTTAAGTTGTCACCGTATTAACGGGTTTAATTATTTTCAAAAATCTTTGTTATTTAGATATTCGTTTTTTACAGACAGACAACCGACTTAAAATCGTGCATAAATTTGAAAATATTTCGATTTTGTATGGGAAAAAATTTAACCCATTTGATTGTTTTTAAATGATATTACGCTGTTTTAGGAATAAGCAAATAATAATTGGCCATAAAAAATCGACGCGCGGGCTCTTGCACTTCAAATAAATGGATATGATTTTAAAGGCTTGAAACTGACTTTCTGAGACAACACCTTTTCACTATTACAAAAGGATTAAAGGAAAATAAAAATTTCGACCCGCACTAATGTACATTCTTTAAAAATTGGTCTCCCTTAAGCAATTCAAGTAAAATTTTTTTAATTTTTTTTATTTTTCGCGTTAAATCTGGTTTAAATCTCTACGACAGTACCTATATTAAAATTTGAGTTGAATTTGAGAGTTTTAACTTTGTTCTAATTTTAATATCAGCTGACAGCAAATTTTTATTTTCTCACGTGTTTAATTGAACTAGATATTAATAAACGAAAAAAATTACATAAAATCTAAGTTAAAATTAAGTTTTCAGATCAGAAATTTCGTGATACCGTCTGTTAAGATTTACAATTTCAAAAAGCTCACAACAAAATTTTTTCAAAATACATTTAAATTTAAAGCCAGGAGTTTCGGGATTTTCAAATTTTACAGAATTTGCAGGAAAATCTGTTTTCGCCTTAGCAAACTTTATGGAAGCTAGCGTACGGGAGCAGCTTCCTGTAAAATCCTGCAGTACATTATTAAGGAAACTTTAAAATTTCTATTAATTTTTTTCTACTTTCTTTTATTTTTTTTAACAACAGCAAATATTTTTTTCACCGCCTTCACATGTTTAATTCGAATATTAGTGAAACAGAAAAATGTTCAGTAAAAAGTTGAATAAAAATTTAAATTAAATTCAGAGAATACAAATTTTTTTGAAAGTTAAAAATTTTACAATTTCCCGGATTTTGAAAGTAAATTTTTTGAATATCTGAAGACTATTTTAGTTATATAAATCATTCTGATCTCGTTTCAAAGGTGATATTTGGGTTATTTTTGAATGCGGAAGAATATGCGCAAGACCGCTAGCATAAATAATATAAAAAACAAGTAAGAAAGTCTAAGTTCGGGCGGAGCCGAACATTAAATATCCGGCGCAATTATTAAATATATGTTTTCCACCTTTCCGAAAGCTACCGCTACACGATAAGCCGGGGTGTATAAATTTTAAGTAAATTAGCGTCCTTAAATTTCGAAATATTGCAGTTTCAAGCATTTCTGAAATATACCGTTATATGAAAAGCGGTCGTAATTTTAGTCCGATTTCAACAATTTTCACCACTTTGCTTTTATGTGGCAAGCACAATAACCATACCGAGTTTGGTTCAAATTGCTAGAACGGTTAGCGAGATACATATATGTGATCATAAGTGGGCGGT